TTGCATACTGATGACGCATAGCTGGAAGAGCGGGCATTCACGGTTCTTTGGCACATCATGACCTGCTGCTAAATATACCCTGATTAATAGTATGTAATACCACTTTGATGATCTTTATTTACTGTATCTACTTATTGAGTTCTCATAGTAAAAGCCTTGTAGTAGGTGGTTTCTTGTCATCAATCTATTAGGATTCTTTTAGAGAGTGAACTAATGAGGTAGAACATTTTGGTAACGAATATTTTGGAAGTTTTGAAAACTAGGTTTCGGGCATGCTAACATTTTCGGATCAGATAAATATTTACACTAAGTTGTAAGGACGCGAGCCAATAACAAAACTGTTTGAGAAATACGTGATTGACGTGACATTCGTGTGTGTTTCTGTACAGCCTATGGTACTGCTCACTACTTCTTGCGATCAACAACCAGTCTTGCATCTAACGTCTAAATTGTTTTTCCACTAAGTAAGTAGACATGAACTTAGATTCCCAATAAAGAAATGTCTGGATTTAATCAAAGAGAAATGGAAGCCACGATGGTTTGCAGACAGAAATAGCTCGCAATCAGAGAGGTAGCGTGGGCGGTGCGGAACACGGAACACAGGCCAAGTTCAACGTCTCTATTTACTTGTCATTTTAGGATATTGACACTGCTCGTTTGTGGCTGTTATTAGAGTTATACTGATGTGTTACAGATGTAGTATATTTTGAATACTGAAACATGACAAAGAATATTATTGCCATGCAGACCAATATCGGACGCGCACGCCATTTCGAAATTAATTGAAAAATCGAATGCAAGTAAAATATTGCGAAATTTTTGTTGAGACTTTCTCAATGATATACTGAGTCCAGTACCTTTTTTATTTTCATAAACGTTGCCCCCCACTAGGACTTTCTGCCATGTCGTGGGTGCGTTTACGAACGTTTATAATTGCACAATACATGACACCCAAACCCGAAACAACAATCTGTGGGTCACACGAAGAGTTGCTACGTGCGGGAATCGAACCGTATTATAAAAGTGGTCGTTAATTTGTTTGCCTAGTTACAACATATTGTTACAAAGTGACAATAAGTGCCGTCTATATTGTCGGATACAATTCCTATTTGATAACGGAGGTAGGTACTTTTGATACTTATCTTTTGCAAATACGATTTTACTTTTAAAGGTCAGTTGGCAAGTATGTTGAGTTACGTGAATAACTGAACTAGACTAGTAAGTACATATTTATGTAAATTGTATCTAATATCGATAAGATAAGTAACTATGTAAGGCATTATTTCATTTCAATCTGCAAGGGCTGACTTCCAAATAGAATAATTTGTGTTATATTAACATAGGATTATATAGACGTATAGTGATGATTACAGTTTACAGAATAAACTACCAATAAACCAATTGGTTAAAGCTTTATTCTCAGTCATTGAAAGAAAATCTATGAAAACTGTTTTGTCTACAACAATATGGTATCTGGCTCAGATAATTTGTACAGGCGCTAAACTTTAATATTGATATAATCCAGCCAGTGTACTTTATAATTAGCAACACACTATAGCAAGCAGTTCTGAAGTTTTTAATTTGCAGAAAAAAATTATTTAATTATTCAATCTTGGGGACGACGGACGACTGAACGCAGTAAATTACTTCTCTTATTAGCTATCAGGAGGTGCGAGTGTCAAGGTATGAACCCTGAAGTCCATGCTTGAGAGTATAGTAATTGGCTCAATTAGTATTAAATCAAGTGCAAAGAATATCCTGTGCCATCACCCAACTTACATGTATAAAAGGCGTGATAAAATAAGCTCTTTTGATGCACCCACATAGGTACCTATTACATTGCCTGAGTACACTACACCCGCATTAAACCGTATCTATACTCCGTCTGTTTAGGTAGTTAACTATTTGTAAACAAACCATAAAAAGAGTTCTTTATAGTTGACATTTCCATGACTCAAAATACTTCATAAGAAAATAAAATTGTTTCCATTTTTTCGACAGTTTTCTCTATTAAATGTTATGTTTCTGTTCCTTTTCACTTATTTCTTAGTAAATATTATATATATCTGCTTGAGCATAATAATTTAATAACATTTTTTATTAAATAATATAATATTTCATTACAATAGACACCATAAAGAGCCTAAAATCCCAGGTATCCAAAACCTTTCTTTATGAACGAAGCATTAGATAATGTTGTCAAATTAAAGAGTCCAATTAAGATGTAGCGCGACAATGAAAGTAGCGTGTATTACGTTTAGTCGGTTAATCAGGCGCCATTGACAGCTCTCTCGTCGTTTGCGCTCGCGTTCCTATTTTGTTGAATTTATCTTGTTTTTGTTTTGTTTTTGTTATTACGTTATTTAAGTTTAGGTTATTCATCGTTTGTAATTAATGTGTTCAAATATATTGAAGAAACTTGGCCCAAAGACACATATCCGTACAAGAAAGAAATCCGTACATCAGATTCAGAATTGTTTCTATTTAAACATGATAATGAAATAGACCCATAGGCTAGGCTCTTGTACGATTTAGGCATTTGTGCTTGTATGTTGTGTGTGACAAATGAACGATGTTAAAGTGAATTTAGTTAAATTAAAACACGAGAAATGTTTGAAGTAATAGAAGGTTAAGTATCTCTGTGTCACGTGGTTTTGTTTGTTTACCTTTAGTTAATTACCTAAACAGATGGACTATAGAATAATTTCCTTCTCCATTTCCATATCTAGAATGGTACATTACCATTACAACGACGGTATCTTATCAGCCAGTATCAATTCTAAAAGCGACCGATAGACAGCTGGATAGACAGATGTCAGTCTGTCAATGAAAGAGGCCGAACAGGATGCCATCGCGACTAGATGGAGACAGATAAAATATCTAATACCTGCGTATTTCGTAAAGTATCTGGCGTAGTTTCTTGGTGATGAATATGTAGTTCTGATGCTGGGCAAAGTACTATAAAATTATAGTTAGCAAGCAGTTCCGTCTTTACCATAAAGGCATTCGGGCCCGGGCCCATCCTCAGGGGGCCCGACAATTTCTACGACAGATACAAACGATACGACCTTCAAACCTTCAATAGAAAAGAGCGAATTGCTTTTTAAAAGGCCGGCAACGCACCTGTGACTCCTTTTGTGTTGCGGGTGTCCATGGGCGGCGCTGATTGCTTACCATCCGAGGTGATCCGTCTGCTCATTATACCATAAAAAACCGCTGCAACCGGCTGCCCCGTAACGTGTATCTGCTTCGATTCCCACACGGAGCAAATCTTTGTGTGATCCACAAATTGTTGTTTCGGGTCTGGGTGCCATATGTGTGAACTTGTATGATTGTAAATGCACACACAATACAGGAGAAAATCCTAGTGTGAGGTAACATTAAAAAAAAACATTCCTAAAGGGCCCGCATTATTGTGCGCCCAGGCCCAAGGGCCCCAGCGTAGTCTAAGACAGCCCTGTCAGCAAGGTCTGAGAGTCCGTGAAAGGATTGAAAATGACAACAATCAATGGACAGTATTAATTAATTAGATACTCTCTGGTGCAGCAAACAAATGCATGGCTAATGCTAGTGACACATTGTTACGGTCCGTGGAGTATCAGAGCGCTAATAAAAACCAATCTTCCTCATTTAGTTGATAGATTATTTTAATCTCTTTGATGTTTCGACCGGGTCACATTAAGCGTGGTAACAGGCAGATCACTTGCCTCGTAATCTACACAATCTTAGAAGAAATACAATAGAAGTAAAAGTAGATTACACACATAATTTGGGAAAATTTTAATAAAAAATTTCATTTATGCACAACACGAAGGCTCGTGAAATGGCAGGTAATTTAAAAATCATACAAATACTACTGGAGGTGACCTACTATAATAATAATAATTGGGTTTATAGGACACCTGGGCACCTGTGTGGTCCGGTCCGGGTGTGTCCTAGTTTTGAGAGCGTCCTGCATTCATGTTGAATGACCCTTCGAATTTGCGACCATGGACAAAAGCGGACTTAATGTGCCGGTACTAACTACTAGGTAAACTTCAGAATGATTTTCAGTTTCATAGTCACAAATGTAGTGTTGTCTACTTAAAATTACTTTTAGTAGTAGTTAGTAGATTTGTAGAAGACTAAGATTTGCTAATGGCTATTCTTGAAATAAAATTAAAAATTGGTATGTACTCTCGAATATCTCCAAGTTTCTCAACCTGAAATGACTGAAAGCATAGGTAAGTAATCCTGTAAATTGCTTGCCTCGCGACTCGAATATAAATGAGATTGCAAACTTTTCTCTAAGAGTCGGTACGATGTAGTTACTATACAGCGTTTTTACTTGTTTTACATAGTTAGTACCTATGTACAGTCACACAGAAATTTTAAGATAGCTACGAATGTTATGTGTATGTGTACTATACATTCATACAAGTATGTGTTCCAGTTATATGGTCCGCAACACGAGTCAGCTGAGCGAGTATCGATCGAGTAACCCGGGAAAAACACGAAGCTCCCGGTACACGGGTCTCCGTGCTTGACCGGTGTGCAACCGAACTCGGTCGGGTAACGTCAACAAAACAAGATACTGCCGCATTGAAGTGTTCCGGAGACCGGAGGAGTATTATTATGAGTGTCAAGTAAATTGAAACAAACCAAGTGTGATATTTCAACCGGCTAACACGACACTCGTGTTATGGCCACGGTAATTCACCACGGTATGCTCCGCAAATGTTACTGTTAGTTTTAGATTACAGCCAAGATAAGTTTAGGTTACACAGAAAATATGAGAAGACGATTGTTAAAAAATGTTGTTTCAATTATTGCTATTCAATCAATGATTCAAAAACAACCGCACGTTAACCACGGTCATATTAACGAGTTCCAAAATTAAATTGCAAAACAAATAATAGTGTAATTAAACCATAAACTACACGAACCGAGCAATTAAACCTTCAATTCGAACATAAACATTATTTATACGCCGATATATGCAACACATGGTGAGTACTCACCGATGCGCTTGTTGAGCCTCGGTGTGGACCTGCCCTGCTCGTCATCCTCTACATCCACATCGAATGAAAATGGAAAACTCTTCGTAGACCCCACGAATCCGGTCGCCATAACGACAAAATTCACATGAAAACACGCGTCATGCGTCGGCAACCCTCCGGTTCTCCGATATGACTGGCTGGAAACAGCGTCGCACAAAACTAGCGGGAAAATTTCAAGCGTTTGACGGAAATTAAACCAATCAGTGTCAAGCTTAGAACGCACATCTAACTCTTCATTGGTTGATATGGTTTGATGTTTACTGCGTATTTTTGTATAAAATTATTTTTGATACGATTGCTGAGTCAACATCAAAAGGATTCGACTCGAATGAATGGGCGCGAATTTGTTCACAGTTCACCTTCACATGATTAACTGCTGCGTTGAGAGAACATTCATAAGTAAGTACTTATGACTTTATCATAAATAATCTCATATTGCAGTAAACGTAACAATACATTTCTCTTGGTAATATATTTCCTGGAAAATATTTCTCAGTAAGTAGGTACTTACTCACCTAAAATCCTGGTGTGTTAAAATCAAGATAAAAATATTCTCAAAGTCAAGTGTTTTGATAACTCAAGTCTAATAAGATCTGTATTAGAAATACGATGTCAAGATAAATTGAAAAATGTTGTCATTTTTACGAATACCGACAAAACACGGAACGGATAAAATCATTTGTATGTAGCGCGCTCTGTGAAAGATTGATTATGGAATTGATTTGAAATGTACTTATCGTGTATTCTAATTTGCGAGCCAAAACCTCAAGTCAGACTGTGGTATAGGCACCTTCTCCCCCACTAGATCCCCAATCCCTAAAGAGTCGGCAACGCACACGTTTGTGTAGATACCTATGTAACTCCTTTAGTATTGTGGGTCCATGCGTAGCCTTCAATTGCTATTCTAGAAGAAATGCACATACTTAATTATTTCTTCCAGCTTAACACGAGATAACGAGCGCAACAATAAGAAAGTTAGAAGGTGTAAAGCATTAATTAGTCTTTGTACTAATTGAGGCAACAAGTACGTCTTACATAGGTAGTCAGCTGTCAAGACACGCGTCAAACGAGAGTAAACTAAAACCACACTTTAACACTAGGTAAATATGTCGCGGAGAACCTAACGCAGGAGAAGTCAGTAAGAGTCTGACACTCCCTCCCGCCTCACCCAGGCGAGAGCAGTCATTCGATGATTTTCCCCCCTTAAAATAATCACTAGGTATATATAAAAGGCAAGATGTTTTTACGTAATAATGCTATAAATATTTCTCTAGGCGCTCATACTGTTTGAAATGGGTTTAATTTAGTGAATTACAATGACTTACAGGAACTTCTTTACTTTGATCAATTTTTTTTATTAATAAAGAAGTTAATTGTATAAGAGTTATTTGTATTTATAACCCTACAGCATTCATGTTCCTACATAGTTATTAGGACACCTTTATTAAACTTCACCAGTGTACATATCACTACATAGTGTAAAACAAAGTCGCTTTCTCTGTCCCTTTGTATCCTTAAATCTTTGAAACTACGCAACGGATTTTGTTGCGGATTTTTTAGTAGATAGAGTGATTCAAGAGGAAGGTTTATAATTATGTATAATACATGCATATTGCACCCGTGCGGAGTAGGTCGCTAGTTATGTATAATACAAGTATTATAAAGAGTAGATCATTAATAAATACATAAATAGATGCTTGCCAACATGTAATACTTTATTGTATTTCAATATTTTTTACTTTTACTAACAAAGCATTTTTCATCACTCATAACATTCTTTGAGAGATTTTTGTTGCCATTTATTCTACACGGACTAAAGTACAATATCACCAAGTTTCAAAGAAAATAACACATACTCAGACTGTCTAATCCAATGATTTTATTATACACTTATAAATATACCATGACAAAGCATTCACTAGTTAACAAGTAGGTGTTCACTTGGCGAGGCTCTCGTTGATGGGGTCCAGCTTGGGTTCCTCGAATTTGAAGGTAGGGAATGAGGTCATGTCCACTCCGGAGCCACCGCCGTACTGCTTCTCCAGCTTCTCCAACTCCTGTTTCATTTCCTTAGCAATAGCTGGGCTGACATCGATCTTGCCACCACTGAAATTTATTATGGATAAGTACTTAATCTTATTAGAAATAGTAAAAATATGATAGCTAATGGTCAAGGTCAAGTAGTTAGCTAAAAGTCTATTAGCACTGGACAATATGTGGCTTTTAAACTGTCAAACACCAAGCGGTCAACGGTGACCGCAACCTATTGTTCTATAACTGTGTCTATAATGACGGTACTCAACAAGTTCATAATTTGAACATATAAAATACAATAAGTATGCTACGGTTCTTTCATTACTCTGTAGAAAAGTTAACATACCCACTTTTCTTAAATATTGCATCCATGTGTCCATAGTGGGCACAATATACATTGTTTGTTTTCTCCTTTGAGGTAAGTTTAATTATAACTACAATCAGTTCTAATAATCATACAGTGAACCAGACATGAGCCTCAATGTTTACATGCTATCAACATTGTAAAGACCACAATATGATATGAAAATCATACCCCATTTTTTCTTCTTAGCCTCCTACATAATGATTATCTAAGCTGGTTTAGCTGGAAGGTCAAAGTTATCTCAACTTACGCGCTCTTCTGTTTGTACTCGCGGATTTTGTCGAGGAACAACTGCTGGATTGGGTCATTAGCCTTCTGCGCGGCCGCCAGGTTCCTGGTGACCATCACAGAGGTCTGTGCTACCTTCACACCACCCAATAGCCTGGAAGTCAGCATCTGAAACCAACATAACCTCTTATAAGAGTTACATAACTTGGGTCACAAAATTTCGCAGCCATTACTTTTAATATGAGATACAGACTCCTAAATTATATATTTATTAAGAATTTTATCCAAAATCACTGAAAATAATTAAAAAATGTACCTTTTTGTATTTGCGCTTGTCTGGCCCTTTTGACAAGTTTGACAGTAGAATTTTTTAATCGATCACACGAAGGTTTTTTTTATGCGCAGATAAAAACATACAATGCCTATTTGTGAGTAGAATGCATAACAATGCTTTGGTAAATTATTGAATTACATATGAATTTAAAGCATATCTTATCAAAAGTAGTGAAAATGTATGTAACTGAATTTATGATGTTATTCTCCATAATATTATATTTTTATATTGGCGCAAAAGCTAAAATGTCAAATTCAAAAAAATATACTACTGCTGTCACTTCACGGACGTCAAGGTCGTCAAGTTGGTTGTCAATGTCATGTGTCACAGTTTATTTTGTTGTCGACTCGGTGTTAGATCGCACGATTTTATAAATAAAAACTGCAGTTATAAGTGAAATTTGCTTACAAATGCTTTGATATCTAATTCCTAGAACTACCTGGACTATACTTATGTTGGGTTAAAGAATGGACAGAGGAAAAATGCCTTCAGCGGGTCGAGGAGCTAAAAGCAAGGCTCCACAGCACCCACAAGATATCTTTGCGTTGGGCAGTAAGTCCACTGTGGTGGTCTCCAGGGACCCTGAGAAGAGGAACATCCATAAACCTTCTACCAGTGGTATGTATAAACACCACTTCAGAGATATCATAAAAATCTGTACCTTGAGGATAAATGCAGCCTTTCCTTGTAATGTTCCTAAGATTTCTCTCCTAACGATGATGATGATTAACCTAAGGGTACCCACTAACCGATACTCCGACCCAAACATAACATACAAACACATTACTGTATAAATTGGAATGATTACAGGTGTAGAACGCAAAAGAGAACCCTCAGGGTTTGGAAGTCAACCGCCCAGCAAGCGTGCGAGAATTGGTTCACCTGCTGAGGCAGTTGGAGGGACATCTCTTGAAGTAGACCCGGTGGATCTGGTGCCTAATGTTTTACAGGCTTTGGACACACATAACTCTGACAAGCTGGTATGTAACTATAGGCCAAACATTTAAATGTGTAACAGCCCTATTGCTCCATAAAAAAGAGGTGCTTATGCCTCAGTTTTTTTATTATTGTTTCTTTTACTCTGATTGTGATCATATTGTCTGCACGGTCTTTCAGTTTTAGTACTTCACTTTTCCATTTACTCAGAATATATGTATTTTTATTCTTGCTAGTACTCACACCATATTAATTAACTTATTCAAAATCCTAAACTTGTAATTGGCTCATTGATACCTACCCCTATTATTATTTTTATCTATTTTTATAAGCTTTAAGTATTCAAAGAATTAGAAACAAATTCATTTTTTTACTATTTAAACTAAAACTTATGATTTTGATCTTAATCTCTATCCAAATGAAAAGACTTTTTAAACCCTACATTTCTCTTTACAGCTAGGCCTGCTGACAGGCTCAATACGTCTCCTCAAATCGCAGCGTTCCAAACCAGACCCAATACTATGCATGGGTTTACTATACCTGACTAAAATAAGACCAAACATGTTTGCGCATGAGACGGTTACGCAGAGCCTCTGTACGTTACTGAAGAGGGAACAAGGAGCTGCGTTCAAGAACAAAGGAAATCCGCTTGTGTATATTCTGGCGTGTAACATGCTGTACGCTGGACACAGGGAGAGCAATAACTGGCCTGATATATTTATTAAGGTTTGTCGTTATAGTCATTTGGTATTTAAGCTTATGTCTTTAAGGTCTGTTCTGTATTATGGGCAAAGTTTACAGTAGTATATTTTGAAAACAATCCCTAGGCACTAGCACCGAGTGCATACGAATATCAAGTGAAACAAGTGAATTTATTTCTGCAAATAGGCTACAAGGCAGCACTTTTACACGTCAATTATATCAAGCGAACGATGAGGTCGATTATCAAATATCGCCTAATGATGATCAACCACCAACCAACCAACATAGTTGATTGTACGTACATGTAAAAATTATAATTTCAATCTCTTTAATGATTTGTCATCATTATCTTCTCAGGTTTACATTGAGGATGCCTTGAATGAGCGTTGCTGGGTGGAATGTTCGTGGTGCAAATGCTTCGTGGAAAATGTGGTGACTGCGTTCAGCACCAAACAGCCCCCGTCACACTTAATACCCACTGATAACACCTTGGGTAAGTTTACTAATTGTTTAATAAGTTTAGATACCACGTTAATAAAATATTTCAAGTTTATAATTCTTGTGTTTGTATGATTTAAGCCATCTACATAGGTAAGCTATGACAATTACACTCACTCTAAGACAATACTACACAAAGTCGCTGGCCACGTTGGCGCAACGCGTCTTGCTTCTGCGCCTAACTATCGGGAAAAACATTAAAACAATCATGCGGGTCGAATCGAACTGGGGCCGCCATGTTGGCCTGACTTGCGACGTGTTCAAGCCAGTGTGGCCTGGGACTAAGATTCTCCCCTCTGTCATGAACCATTGGTACTTCACTAAGACAAACACATACACATCACTTATAGATGGTACATGACTAGATGGTAAATTACCTATTTACTCTATTATTCTTCTATACAGGAACTATGTCTCCATCAGGCGCTGGCTCCCCTCTAATGGGCAACACGGAGGAAGACCCAGATAATATGGAACTAGAATACTCGGTGTTTCCAAGGTAAGAAACAAACTCAAGGTTTTGATCGTTTGTGAATTCCGAATAAAACATTTTTTTAATTGGTCTGATGATAACTTCTGTAGAGTTTTCAGCATTTACTATTATAAATACTAGATAGTCCAGGTCCTGACCGTGTGACTACCTAAGCACCTTATAAAAATTGAAATTTTACTTTATGACAAAGGAAATAAGGTTGAAATATGTGGTGTCCTGACATTTTTACAAAATATTAAACTTAGTAATCATGTTTTTACATTCGTGCTACAGATATTCTAGTAGCTATGAGGCGGTGGAGACCCTCGTCCTGGAAGCCATCAAGGAACAGATCCAACGTCGCTCGGCGGCCCCCGACGCTATCGGCAAGGGATTCCTCAAGCTACTGTCTGCCACGTGCGGATTCCCAGAGGTACGTATTATCATCTTCTCTGTACTAAGTATCATCTCTATATTTATACACACATTTAAAACTCACTATCACCACGATGATTTCTTATAGATCTGAAAAAAATACTTGCCTAAAACTGTGTACTAAAGTTACCAAATTCCCCTTAGATCCGTATGATATCAGCGTCTCGCCTCGAAGCGTGGCTGCATTCCGGCAAGCTGTGGCGCTGTGCGCAGGAGTTGTTGGCCTACGTGTGTTGTAACTGCGACGCCTGCGGACCCACCGCGGCCAGGGACCACGAGGTCCTGGCTCAGCTGGCGCGGATGAGGCTCAAGACCAAACCTCTGCAGGCGGCCTACCAGGCTTGTCTTAGGTGAGGTTAAATTGAAGAAAATTTTGTGAAATCAAGCATTACAGTCTATATACTATGCTGTTGGTTTTGTCTGAGTGAAATATCACATGACTCTGTATACTGTTTTGATGAAAGCATAAAGCGTTTTTCATCATTAGTTTCCCGATATAACGAAACTGTTCCCATGTACCAGAGAGATGGTGTCGGACAGCCCTCCACTCCTGCGCAGCGTGGTGACGCATACGATCTACAACGAGCTCTCCAACGTGCGCTCACCCAACAACATGGCGGTGCTGGCCGCGCTCATACAGGCGCAGCCGCAACAAGTACCCGCCGCCATGGCAGACACTTACCAAGTAAATATTATAATTATATACAGCGACACATCAAACTATGATTACCAGTGTAATTTGACCGTTGAATGTACGGAAAAGTCATACAAAGCGAGATCAAGATAAACTAGTTTCTAATAAGTTGATATGTAGCTTTGTGTAAAAAACTTATAGTTTCAAAGAAACATTTTCTCAACCTAAAATTCCTTACTGTGTTGTAAAATCAAATATTCTTTTTATTTTCTTTATATTAACTGTCTATCGTCAAATCGCAAATTAATTAATTTCCAGGAATTAGTTCTCCGACCAGAAGATTACCTTCGTCCGCTACGTGCGTTAACGCGCGAGGTGGTGCGTGCAGCGCGCGCAGACGCGCAAGCACTACTGCCGCTGGCACGTGCGCTGGCGCAGCCTCCGCCACACGAACCGCCGCAAGAAGTAAGCTCCGGGATTCAAGTTGTAGACATTATTGTCATCACACTCACCATTAGTTGTCCATCACAGTCATTGTCTTCACGTATCACCACATTTCTTGTCATTATCATCTTTCAAATTGAAGAACGACTCCTCACCACCACCTTGTTCCAGGTACGAGAGCGTGCGTTCTCGTCCCTGGCAGACCTGTTCTGCTGCTGCTGCCTGGTGACGGCGTCCCACAGCAAGCACCTGCCGGAGTACCGCCAGCAGATCTGTGTCATCCAGGCCTCCGCCCTCGGCTGGCTACTGGACACTGCCATGCCGCTATACCGGCCTACCAGGCATGACTACCAACTCGCTTTGAACAAGGTACAGTTGTAGAATAAAATCTATGTTAATAATTTCGTCAAGGGGTACGGTAGACTCGATCGAAATCACCTGGATAACAAAACATAAAAAAATATATATTTCGAGTCGACAACATATATCCGCAAAATTTGGATTACGAAGATTATTTCATGTCATTAATTCATTTTAATGACACTGACAGACAAACCGCAGTCGCCATCTTGAGTGGACAATAAACGTTCCGTTTCATACTAGCTCTCAAATACGCCTCGCCAATCAACACGTTGTCGCGTCAAAAAAGTATAAATTAACAAGAAATATGAATAATTTCACGCGGACGAATTCGCGGGTAACAGCTAGTATAGTTATATTTTTAGGTGGTAGTAGCTGGTAATATTCGTTATCGTCAGTAGAAATACATATTTTGCTGAAATCGAAAGTTGTGAAAGGCTCTAATAAGATTTGTTTTTGTCCTCTAATAATATCTTCTGATTCATTTTACGTGTGCTGATGTCCCTATATAAAACTGTCGATAAAATTCTACACTCTACCAACGTCAGATTCTCGAAAACATTCTCCCATCGATAAATATCTCTCCGCAGTACAGCTAAGGAGAGACCAGTTCCAGAAGAGCTCTGCTAAACTAAGGCCTCCCTACTAAGTAGAGATCTCTCCTTCTCCTGTATTGTGTGTGCATTTACAAACATCCGGAACAACAATTTGTGGATCTCACAAAGAGTTGCACCGTGCGGGCATCGAACCCGTGACACATTGCGCGGCAGCCGGTTGCCCAGCCACAATACTAACCGTGCCGTCATTTACGGCAGCCCTAATTTCCTGATTCACTTACAAAATAAACTATGTACCACCACCAGGTGATGTTCGTGGAGCCAGCGGAAACATATAGCAAGGTGGACAACTGGCCCCCAGAGTCGGAGCGTGCCGCCACCTACCGGTTGTGTTGCGAGGCTCCGTTACCTCAGAACACGCTACTACGGGTCATCTTCATCGGCCTCTCCAAGGTAAGCCAAGTGAGTGAAACATCCAGTTACGTCTGTCTCTCTCACTCTCTACTACACTAGGTGAGACGCACTGCTGTACCTTCACTCTAATTTTTTTTTTCTAATAAATTTTCGTTTTTCTTTATTTCTTGTTTTGGTTTTGGGTAAAAGTAAGCTATCTAAAGTTTAAAATTAAGCTGTACAGAGGCCTTAGAGTTTTTTTTTTGGTTAGTTCTTTGAAGCCGGCCAATCAGAGCGCCGAACGCGGTCTCATTACGATTACATTAAACGTAAAACTAACTTGTACTAAACCCTAAGCTTACTTATTTAACTGTACAACGCGGTCACTCGACTGGTTTCTAGCCATTCCTGGCAGCCTACAACCATCAGCAACATACTGATGTGGCCAACGTTGCTTTAATGCTACTCATAGTGGCGGTTACCGTATTTTTGATCACCAGGTGGCGCTAGTGTGTACTTCTCGTTTTTCGTCCAATAGGGAATTAGCTAGTGCCACATAGGACGTTTAGTATTTTACAGCTAAAGTGGTTGGACAAAAAATACTCTGCTACGTTTGCGAGAGACATGCTTCGGCACGAAAGGAACGCTCGACCGGAGTGAGCCTCGGTCTCACAGAAAACCGACTTGAAAAAAACGCTTGCATTATGTTTCGTCGTGTAAGTGAGGTTACCGGAGGCCCAATAACTGAATCCCCAACAATCGTCCAATTCCTAATCCCAAAAAGCCGGTAACGCACTTGTAACGCCTCTGGTGTACCAGGTGTCCATAGGCGACGCCGATTGCTTACCATCAGGTGATCCGTCTGCTCGTTTACCGGCTTATCACATAAAAAACTCTGGTGACCAAAAATAATACTTTTCAAACCACGCATATCGTGTATCGCAGGACATCCCGGTGTCACCGGCAGAAGTGTTCGAGCTGGTGGAGCAGTTGGTGCGCCGCGCATGCGCACTGCCCGCCGAGGAGAACCCCCTGCAGGTGGACAAGCTGGAGATAGCTGACTACATCTTCCAACTGTGTCAGTTCAACCCACCTGATAATATCACACTGCCGGCTGGGTGAGTACGAGGAACAGAATATTCTTAGTCTTATCAGTGGTGACCGATTGACAGACAGACAGCGCTGGTCATCATGTGTTGAGTCGATAAGGTTGCAGTTTGCTTGTGATGATTCTCCAATGAAAGACGTGCGGTTGTTTCGAAATTATATTTGACACTAAAGTAAATACGTAGAAGGTAGAATGAAATGAATGGACTACAGATTAATAAATATACATAGTTATGTGATACAAACTTTTTGAACGAACATACCGCCCACCAAAAAGGGCTTTAAACTGTCAAACACCAAGCGGTCACCGGTGACCGCAACCTATTGTTCTATAATTGTGTCTACAAAACCGGTACTCGACGAGTTAAGACCCTTTTTTAAAAAATACTAAAATAACTTACACAATAACCACAAACATAACCATTGAATTCTTCGATCAACAATAACAACTAGATATCGGGTCGGCGCAAGAAAATCGTCTCGACAAATAAGAGCTCACTTGAGAAGTGAGCTCTTATTTTGTTTAGTATGCTCCAAACACGGCCAACATACTCACGTCTCACGATGCCGAAGTGAGTCATTGCAAGTTGCAAAAATAATGACCGAAAAAGCAGTGTAACGGCCGGAGTGTGTAACTTTTGATAAGTACATAAAGTATAAGTTATATTTTAAGCTTTTTAATTAGTAAATAATATCAAATTAGATAAAATTACCAATTATCAACCAACGCCACCAATGTTTGTGCGTGTGTTGGCAATCCCTTGGCCAAGCCTCGCCAACACGCGCACAAACATTTGTTTAAACAGAACAGTGAATGCATGGAGTCGATTTGTATTGTAAAATAAAATTGTATTGTAACCTGATTGGAAAAGAGTATCTAACCTATGGAGTTTGTTGCTCGTTCTTCTCCATAGGAATCTACACCTTGGAATGAGCAAATAACTTCACTTTTAAATTTATATTGTTGACGTTCAAAAGTGCCTTCGTGGTCTGACTGAAATAAATTATTTTGACTTAGACTTTTAATGATAAAGTAAATAAACATATCATACACAATAACGAACCGATAATAAAAATAAGTGATGTATACTAAGATCCCGAAATCTTAATTTTCGTATTATAAAATTATTTTAGTGTCCAACGCGACTCCATACATACCTCCTGTAGCGAAATTCTAAAGCTGCGATGAATGCATCGGATGTCAAGTCACTGACTAGTTCTATATGTATAGCCTCTACGGCCATGCAGATAAAAATGCAAATGTATGCCTTGTTGGTTTTTGCTCCTCTTCCCTTAGAGTTTAATACATAAACACTAAACAGGGCCAGCAAAATCCACTCCACTTCGAGCGAAAGGACGCGCTGGCAAATACGTTATCTGCGGTTATCTGAAGGAATTCTCATAGCTTGGCTCACTTGGACTAATAATTTAGATAATAATGTTGCTCCACACAGCTCTAAGCGTGGTAGTGAAACTGTCTTGATTGGAGCTACTTTTGTTCTTGATGCGACAAGATTTATCTTTATCTCATCATCCTCAGTTTGTACTCGCTGTGCTGGCGCTAGATCCTGCTGACGATGCTTCCACTTGTGTCACCCACAGCTACACCCCTCCAGCGCTGGCCATCACGTCGCTGTACTGGCGCGGCTGGATCCTGCTGACGATGCTGGCTGCCCATAACCCCCAGCAGTTCGCAGAGCGCGCCGCAGCCATGTATCCTACACTCAGAGCCCTCATCGAGATGTGTATCACCAAGTAAGGAAACTCATGAACATTTCAAGACCTATCATCCGACCTATATTAGTTAAACAGACCCCCTTAAGGCCCGATGTTGTTCCCCTGCAGCAAGCCGAGTATAGAATGGAGTACAAGTACCACGGCGGAGGCAGAGCGCGCGGAGGCGGAGCGAGCTGCCATACTCCAGCTGGAGACTCACCTGGCGGCCGCCAGTAACTCCAAGATGCCAGTCAATGAACATAACTCCAGGCTGCTCAGTCAGGTACCTTTATAATGATAGTTTTGATATAATTTCAGATCGGTATCAACTATTACAACATCTGTTGGAAGATAGCATGGCCCTCTTGTCTGTCAAACGTCTCAGTTCTGTGTCTCCTTTAACCATTTACCGTTTGCTTTTGCGCTGTTGCGCTCAAAGTTTATTAAGTCCTTCATATTCACAGTGTAATTTCACATTAACTTTTAATCCGTTCATCGTGTAGCTAACTACTTTGGAACCCCTGGGTCCTGCGAGGAAGCCTCCGCAAGCGATCATAGAGACCCTGCAGGCGATGAGCTCACAGATGAGGCTGGGCAAGTTATTGTGTCGACAGCCGGCGCTACTGCTGGACCTGGTGGAGAGACATGGAACTAGGAGAGCCATGCCCTGGCTGCATCAATTGCTCAGGCACGACCAGCTCGAACTTAGGTAAGGAAGTTAATGACATTTCTTCTCAACTTTTCCAATTGATAGTGTCTGAATTACGTAAAAATCGCGGATTACTCACGTGAATATACTGATAATAGCTCTACTAGTTTCGAACAACAGAGGGGTTCTTCCACATGAGCAGCGTGCGCGGTCGCGATGTCAAATTCAAATTCATTTAATCGTTTGCAAACATGGGTACATAATATAGGTATTAACAAAATACAGTTTCTCCATATTTTGCCTTCACTTGGCATGCAAAGATATGTTATAAAAAAATTATATAATAAAAGCCGCAGCCTACTGGCTAGTGTTGGCGCTCGCATCAGTGTTTCTACTTGCGCATCTAGCCGGGAGTAACCCGCAAGTTTTAGTTAATTTAGTGTATGTCTCACGATAGTTATTGTCTGAATGTTTTTATTATAGAATTGAAGATGTGTGTGTCTGGTTTATGTGTCTGGGATGCACTACTGTTGGTTTTTGTATGAGCCTCTAGAAGCATAATATGTGTAAAATTGGTGGTGCTAGATTCTATTTAACCGACTTCAAAAAATGGGGAGCTGAAGTCGATACCTTTTAAAATAATTATTAAATCTTGTTTTTTTTAAACTGTCAAACACCAAGCGGTCGCCGGTGACCGCAACCTATTGTTCTTTAATTGTGTCTATAAATACGGTGCTCGACGAGTTAATAAATAAAATCATAGTACAAGGACATAATTTTCATGGTCAAATAATTTATATAAATATCTTATTATTCACACACATTAAAACTTGTTACGAAAGAGTACTTTGCTTGTATGTTATTCGAAAGATTGTCTGAAATTCTCAGTATATTTAAATGTACCTTGTCCCGCCAGCGTGCTGCCGGTGCAGTGCCTGTGCGAGTTCCTGTCGGCGGGCGGCGCGGGCGGCGAGGTGGGCAAGGCGGGCGAGCTGTGCGGACACCTGCGCCGCACCGTGGCTGACTCCGAGGCGGGCGCGCGCGCCGTGCTGCACTACTACATGACGCGCCTCGCGCACACACACGCGCCCACCCGGGCGTCCGCCAATAGGGTCAGACATACTGCTGCACTACTACATGACGCGCCTCGCGCACACACACGCGCCCACCCGGGCGTCCGCCAATAGGGTCAGACATACTGCTGCACTACTACATGACGCGCCTCGCGCACACACACGCGCCCACCCGGGCGTCCGCCAATAGGGTCAGACATACTGCTGCACTACTACATGACGCGCCTCGCGCACACACACGCGCCCACCCGGGCGTCCGCCAATAGGGTCAGACATACTGCTGCACTACTACATGACGCGCCTCGCGCACACACACGCGCCCACCCGGGCGTCCGCCAATAGGGTCAGACATACTGCTGCACTACTACATGACGCGCCTCGCGCACACACACGCGCCCACCCGGGCGTCCGCCAATAGGGTCAGACATACTGCTGCACTACTACATGACGCGCCTCGCGCACACACACGCGCCCACCCGGGCGTCCGCCAATAGGGTCAGACATACTGCTGCACTACTACATGACGCGCCTCGCGCACACACACGCGCCCACCCGGGCGTCCGCCAATAGGGTCAGACATACTGCTGCACTACTACATGACGCGCCTCGCGCACACACACGCGCCCACCCGGGCGTCCGCCAATAGGGTCAGACATACTGCTGCACTACTACATGACGCGCCTCGCGCACACACACGCGCCCACCCGGGCGTCCGCCAATAGGGTCAGACATACTGCTGCACTACTACATGACGCGCCTCGCGCACACACACGCGCCCACCCGGGCGTCCGCCAATAGGGTCAGACATACTGCTGCACTACTACATGACGCGCCTCGCGCACACACACGCGCCCACCCGGGCGTCCGCCAATAGGGTCAGACATACTGCTGCACTACTACATGACGCGCCTCGCGCACACACACGCGCCCACCCGGGCGTCCGCCAATAGGGTCAGACATACTGCTGCACTACTACATGACGCGCCTCGCGCACACACACGCGCCCACCCGGGCGTCCGCCAATAGGGTCAGACATACTGCTGCACTACTACATGACGCGCCTCGCGCACACACACGCGCCCACCCGGGCGTCCGCCAATAGGGTCAGACATACTGCTGCACTACTACATGACGCGCCTCGCGCACACACACGCGCCCACCCGGGCGTCCGCCAATAGGGTCAGACATACTGCTGCACTACTACATGACGCGCCTCGCGCACACACACGCGCCCACCCGGGCGTCCGCCAATAGGGTCAGACATACTGCTGCACTACTACATGACGCGCCTCGCGCACACACACGCGCCCACCCGGGCGTCCGCCAATAGGGTCAGACATACTGCTGCACTACTACATGACGCGCCTCGCGCACACACACGCGCCCACCCGGGCGTCCGCCAATAGGGTCAGACATACTGCTGCACTACTACATGACGCGCCTCGCGCACACACACGCGCCCACCCGGGCGTCCGCCAATAGGGTCAGACATACTGCTGCACTACTACATGACGCGCCTCGCGCACACACACGTACTGGATATTTTGATCAAACGATTCCCAGGTTTTGCGCATTGAACATTACACATTGTATTGTAATGTTTCTATGTATGATTACCTTGAATTCTTTTTGTAGGGTCTGAAGCTGGTGCTGCAATCTTCAGACGATACATCTGAAACTGATTACAACGCTGACGTTGGTCCCGAGTGAGTATTTCATTTTTAAAACTGAATACAATCAAACATACATATAAAATACGGTAACAAAGTCAGTAAAGATAATTTCCTACTAGATGTGGACACAGCATAATTATGTATGCTGTAGAGATATAGAGATATCCTACATTACTAAATACATAATAAAAGTTACCGTTTTTAGCTTAACAGATGGCGTCATTATAGCTTGAAGTCCTGATAGCCTCATGGAGATTTCATAGTGTAAAATTTTTGACAACTATAATATGGCCATTACAGCGATTTTACGCTACATTGGCGCCCTCTGGAGAGCATAAAATACTGTTCATCTATATTGTTGTAAATTATTAACAAATAAAAAATATAGTGTTAAAAAAAATATGAATCTGTATGAGTGCGTATTAAGTGTATGAGTGTCGTAAGTAGTGGCGTGTGGCAGGTCGTGGCTGGAGCTGGTGTGGGCGCTGCCGCACTGGGAGGCCGTGCGCGACGACGTGGTGCTGCGCGTGCGCACGGCCTGCGCCGTGGAGTGCGTGCCGCGCCACCTGGCCGCCTACATCGCCTTCCTGCAGCACTACGTCGCCTGCACGCCCGCGCTCGACCATACCGACCTCGTGCTCGTCAGTACACTCTATTGCTATCGTCATCTCAATTCATTTCATATCCAATTTGGCACTTCTCAAATCTTCTCTTTCATATTTTATCATTCTGCACAGATTGTGTGCAAAATGATCTGTACTTTTCAATCCTTTTATTATCTCGTTCTTAAATTAATTAAAAATATCTGTTTGATTACCTACGTGATTAACTGAGAAATGTTCTACTAATTTTAAGTCGCAGAGGGACTCTCTTCATGAGCAACGTGCGCAAACGTCGCACAACCTACTCTTATTAGTAAAACAACTAATTATACAATTAATAATTCTTTTATAAATTACGTTTAAAAACCGACTCTAACCCGAACACCCTTTTTTCGAATTCGGTTAATTAATATACTTGTTGGAGCTGATGCTCTTGTCTTGATTACTGATAATCTTGATAAATAAAACTTGTTGAAATATAGAAATTTATTAAAACAATACTTGATATTAAAATGACTTGTGTGCACACTTGTACGGTCAATCGCGAACTGGTCTAATAAGTAAAGCGTTGAATGCGCA